CAAATTACATATATACCCTTGTTTTGATTTAATCATATGTTTGCTATTAATTACAACTATACTAATTAAAATTATTTAGTCTAAAATATATTTAAACTAAATCAACCTCCAACAATGCGGGAAAATGCATTTTTGCTGTTTTGGCGGAAAAACGAGATTTTTCGGATTTGGCGGCGTTTTTCCGGATTTGGCAGGAAAACGAGATTTTCGTTTTTTTCGGGAAAACGAGATTTTGTGATTTTGGCGGGAAAACGAGATTTTGTGATTTTGACAGAAAAAAGAGATTTTTTTATTTTGGCGGGAAAACGAGATTTTTGGATTTAGCGGGAAAACGAGATTTTTCGGTTTTTAGGGAAAACGAGATTTTTCGGTTTTTGGGGAAAACGAGATTTTTTGGATTAGGCGGGAAAACGAGAGTTTTTTTAGGGAAAATGAGATTTTCGGTTTTTTAGGGAAACAAGATTTTGTGATTTTGGCGGGAAAACGAGATTTTGTGATTTTGGCGGGAAAACGAGATTTTCGGATTTGACGGGAAAATGAGATTTTTGGTTTTTAGGGAAAACGAGATTTTTTGGATTTGGCGAAAAACAAGATTTTTCGGTTTTTAGGGAAAACGAGATTTTTCGAATTTGGCGGGAAAACGAGATTTTTCGGATTTGGCGGGAAAACGAGATTTTTTGGATTTGGCGGGAAAACGAGATTTTATGATTTTGGCGGGAAAACAAGATTTTGTGATTTTGGCGGGAAAACGAGATTTTTCGGTTTTTTAGGGAAAACGAGATTTTTCGGATTTGGCGGGAAAACGAGATTTTTCGGTTTTTTTAGGGAAAACGAGATTTTTCGGATTTGGCGGGAAAACGAGATTTTTTGGGTTTGGCGGGAAAACGAGATTTTTCGGATTTGGCGGGAAAACGAGATTTTGTGGGTTTTTCAGTTTTCGTGTGTCACGGAATAATTTTATGTTTAAGTTTGTAATTTGTGAATTACAACAGGGTATAATAGACATTATACCATTTTGAATGAACCATCTCCATTCAAATGATCCAAATTCGTTCAGCTGAATGAACTTTAAAATTAAGCCTAAATTTCCAAAAATCATTCAAATGGATCAAATGAATGAGTTGTACTTTTTGTGTCTAAACGAACAAAAAGCTCATCTCCATTTGAATGGATCATTTGAATGAAGAAACGAACAGTCCCTAAGATAGCTGAGTGGAACCGCTTCAATTGGCAGAGGTTATGGACTATGTCACCAGATAAATTTTTTTTGTTTACTTTTGCAAGATTAAAAGGTAGAAAATTTTGAATATTTAAGATGAGATTCTGATTATGCCTTCGGGTATATTTGCTGAAACTTAAAGACGAATACAATGTGAAGTATTCAATTTCTTTTCAATCCTTGCAGTAACTTTTTTTGGGCTTATAGAACGGCATGTTGCTTCTTTATGTTGGCGTCCTGATGGTAGATCCATAGCTGGTTGGGCTTGAGAATGGAACCGTTGCGCTTCACGATGTCGAGGGAAGTTTTAAATGTTATGGTAATTTGTCTTCCATGACGCAGATGTTGATGGACTAACTATAGCGAACGGGAAACTAGCTAGGAGCTGAAATTCCAATGCTGCAGCTGTTGTGTGTCTACATTGGGAAGGTATGAGGCAAGGCAACACAATATTATTGAATAAAAAAACTTGACCAATCCTGTTAACACATGTCGTTTGCCTTGAGAATGGAAAGTTTATTTTCGGTGTTGGGAGTCAGTTGAGTCAAGTAACTTGATTGGAACTCAACATGGTCATTTTAATTTTCTAAACCTAAGTATATGATTAGATAACACATTTAAAGATCTACCTTGGGAGCGTAGGATAATGTTGTAATGGGATCTAATGGGCGGTAAAAACTGTGGATCAGCCGGGATTTTAAAAGGTTTGATAGTATAACAATTAACAACTCCGATGCGCTGTTTTATTTCTCTTGGGTTGTTGCTTATATAAACATAATATGTTTTTTAGGGATTGCTTCAATGACAAATAATGGCGGATTCACGAGTTTCAGAACCAAGGTAAAGGGTATGAATTTAATGTCAGTGTCTATATGTTTCTTTTTCAATAATATTTTGTGTTATCTTCTTCGTTTTGTACCCACATGTTTAAAAATGATGACAGAGTTCTAGTATCTCAGTGTATTATTAGGCTACAACTTAGTAAGTCTTTTCTTTATAGTATGAGAATAACTGACATTGGTGGCTTATGCTTGCCTATTGCATTGATCACATTAAACAGCTACAGGAGATTATGAACAAAATGTGGTTGCAAACAACTTGGTTGAAGTTTAAGGTGCACCAAAATAACTAAATATACGACACGGAGAAAATGAGGCTGCTAAATATGTTTATCAATTACTTGAACCACAACTTTGTTACGTTTTTATTTTTGAATGATGGTGAAAACATGTTTCAACTGATATGAACATTTATTTCTGCAGAGAAAGAAGTATCAGATTTTTGGCTTATTGCACTGATGAACAATGAAATTGTCGGTAAGGAAGTTCATTATTAGGATAAGTTTTTTTTTTGTTTATGAAATTGTGATTCTCCCTCTTGATGTGTTCCCCCACTAAAGATTACTTAAAGCGTAATGAACGAGCTCTCAAGTTTCTCAAAGTTATTAAGTGGAATAGGGTTGAATAACCAAAAGAGTTCACCCTTGAGCTTTTTATTTTTATCAGAACTTTTCAAGAACACTGTTTTCACCAAGACATAACATGATTGATGAAGATAAGTTTAACCTCGAGAAGACCATTGGGTATGATCTTTTCTCTTATTATGTATTTTCTGTTTTTGTTTCTTGAGAGAAATACTTATTAATACGATATCGTCACACGCCCTCCAGTCACGCCATATATATATTTATTTACTTATAACTGCTAAAAATCGTTTGAGTACTAATAAAACAGATTTGAGAAAAAGAGATGATGGAATATAAAAGATGAAGGGAAGCCAAAAGTGAGAAAAGAAAGAGACAAGAGGTTCATGAATGTGTTAAAATTATACGTTTTCTGTTTTCAGCTTAACTAGAAGAATAGTGTAAGTAGCAATGAAGAATCTTCTTCTCCGGAAAAGAAGCTTCGCTTATTTATGAAGAAATATACAGAAATAATAGTCAAATCTCTGATATGAGGTCGTGTTAATTTGAATTCATGGCAAGATTTATATGGTTTGAATGTAAAATTTTCGGTAGTAGTTTCCTTAAAACGTTTGTCATTTAGCTTGGCTTTAGTTTTATTGTCGTTTGTAATGTTTTCGTATAAATTGGTTTAGAGGACAATATTATTATTTATTTTGGTCAATTTTGAGTAAATTTATCTTGTATCATAAAATGATACTGTATCAAATGATTCGGTTTGATATGAAAAATAACAAGTTTAAATCATCGGTTTAACAAAATCATAACAATTTAGCTAGAGAATTTTTGTTTTTGGGTCAAACTAATAGTAAGTATATTAAACCAAGATTGCATACTACTGTTGTATATATAGCTTTCATTTATATGATGCAAACATATTTTCAAATGTATAAAATAATACATTTTATTATAATGTAATATTAAAATTATAATAACAAACAATTTAAATAATAAACCCGGGCGTAGCCCGGAAATAGCTCTAGTAAATATAATATGTTATTATACTAAATTAGAAGCAGTAACAAATTGTATTTGAAAATCTTCTATAAAAAGTTATATATATTAGAGTCTTTCGACCAACAAAACAAAATTTCAAATATGATAATAGTATATAAAATAAATATAAATTCATATTGTATCAATTCGTCCTAGTGTAATAAATTTACACAATTCAAATTCTATCAAAGAAACATTCCAGATTTATTTTTCGAGCTTTTTTTTAATTCTTGCCGTTCTTTTATCAGTTACAATATTATTGAGAAATTAATTTCCAAAACGTTTGTATACAAACATGTTAAATGTAATCGTTCGTTGTAAAATATTCAAGGAAGCAGACCAGAGTGTTTGGGTTGACATGAAAAAAAAAAACAGACCAGTGTGGAAAGCCGCATTGAAGCCCACGTGGTTTAATGTTAAGATCTGTTTGAGTGTTACCAAAAAAAAAAAAAAAAAAAAAAAATCTCTGTCTGAAAAATGCGGCAAATTGGCATTTATTGAAAAATATGTGGTTTTAAAAAAACAATTGTGTACGACTCCCGGACCTTCTCAAACCTTCCTTTACCACTACACATCCTCCAAACTCGAAACAAAATCTTAGTTAGCTGAAGAAAATACTCTTACAGCGGGAGGAGTTGAGATCTTTTTCAGTTCTTAAAATCGGTAATAATCACCATCTTAATCTTGCACGTTAATCTTCTATTATTTATTTTCATCAAAGAAATTAAGAGTTTATCATATGTTACTACTGTATACAGTTCTTGCTCTCTTCATTACTTTCACGATAAGACATTTTATCCATTCCAAACAGGTAAAGCTAGATAGAGAGAGATCACATCCGAATATCATGCGGCGTTTTCCTGCTCTTATAGAAAAGCTGAAACCAAGCTTTCCGGTTCTAAGATCAAAGGGTAACTCATGTAATCCTAATTAAATTCTCCACATTTTTTTTTCATGAGGAAGAAAACGAAACAGAGTAACTCTGTTTTAGGAGAAGCAGGTAAAGTGGTGAGAACCATTGTACCGAAGAAACTAGGGAACGTGAATAGTAGCGAAAGAACAATCAAGAAGATTGAGGAAACGGTCGAGCCCATGGTTGCCTTCAGTAGACCACCACCGTTTACACCATTTGTCGGTCCATTGCTCGTGTATTCCCTTCTTCAATCATGGTCTAGCGGCGATGAAGACGGCTAATTGTTTCTTGCAATACATATATATATATATATATATATATATATATATCATAAAATGTCTTGCCAAAGTTTTCTTAACCATAATCTTTAAAATCTAGATATTGACCGAGTCTTTAGTGTGATATTATTGTGAGATATAATGAAGGTTTGTTGTTGTTTATAGTTGGTAAATAGATCAAACGAGTTTGTAGTAATAAATAAATAAAAACTGATATCATTTTGCAGAGTTGAAACTATTCAGAATTGTTATATCATTTTATTTCAAACATGAAAACCATCAAAGTAAAGAATCACTGAAATGATCTACTTTCAAGAACTATTTTTTCCTGAATGTGAATCAGTAAGCTTAGTGCTGAAGTCCCAAAGCTTCTTGGCCAGTTCTGAATCTTTGGCAAGTGATGTTGGCTCAGCAATGTTGCAATCTGTGAAGTATTCCCCTGTAACTCCTGCCACCTGAGGATTCAATGCCAAGTAGCAAGTTGTTGCTGCCCCCTACAAAACAGATAACCGACAAACTAAGTCAATAAAGCTAGACTTTATGAGCACCGGTTCTCTCCTATCAATTAAGTTGTAGTTCTAAGTGATTGGTTATTAATGTGAAGTTTAGAAATTAGAGGCATACCTGCGGAACGGTCTTTATAAAATATCTAGCCATTGCGCTAACAGCTCCTGCATTGAGCAAGTGACAGAGAGGATCAGAAGCAAATCAAAGTATATATATATATATGTGTGTAACCTTACCAGCCAAATAGCTGTTGAAGTAGCGCCAAAGACTTGTCATAATGGCTCCTGGATGAAGTGAATTTACTTTTATATTAGCTCCATCTTCCTGTTTTATATTCAGACAAGAAATGAATCAAGACAGCCATGGAAACATAGATTCTTGATATGATAGATCCATTTCTTGTTATACTACCTTCAGTTGCCTTGCAAGCTCGTTAGCGTGTAATACGTTGCAGAGTTTAGACTGGCCATAAGCTTGAATACTACTGTAGCTGCACAAGAGACAAGAGCAAGAAAGTATGTCGCACTATTTCAAGAAAAAAAAAAAAGAAGACAAGATCCAAGAAGTACCTTGATACGTCGTTGATCTTATCAAACCGGACTCCTTCTGGATAGGAGAAGCGATGAGCTTCTGATGATAGATTAACAATCCTTCCTTCTCGTTTGCTTTCAATTGATGTGTTCTTCATTGTATCTAGCAAAAGCTTGGTCAACAGAAAATGACCTGAAACATATTTGGATCACACTTAGTACAGAGCTATAGTAGTCTTGGTTTGATTGTCTTCTTACTCACCTAGATGGTTGGTTGCGAACTGCAGCTCGATGTTATCCTTAGAGAGCATGAAAGGACATGCCATAATCCCAGCGTTGTTGCTAACAAGATTGAGAGATTTCAAAATAAATCACAAAATGCTAGACATGAACTACGGTGTTTTGTTAGCTTACATTAAGATGTTTAGTGGAAGACCAGTAGATTTGTAGTCAGATGCAAATCTCCTGACGGATTCCATAGAGCTGAGATCTAACTCCATGACGTCGAGCTTAGCACTAGGGACTTGATTGAGGATATCTTGCTTAACTTTAGCACCAGAGGCAGTGTTCCTCACTGCCATAACTACGTGAACACCACGCAGTGCAAGAACACGTGCTGTCTCTACTCCTATACCACTCGATGCTCCTGAAAACATGAGCAATGAAACAAAAAGACAACTTAAGAAACCAAAAAAGTCCATAAAGCTCAATGCAGGGTAACACATTAAGCTAGTTACTAGCTTTTCCAATACCCTGATAGTCTGATTATAATGTTGTTGCTCATGCCTATAAATATGGTCAAATAAGAACTTAATATAACAAGAAAAGAAGCAACACTTTCACATACAAGACAAAACAAAGAAGGCTCAATCGATGCTAGAATTCTAATTTATATGCAACCTGTGGTTTCTTCAACTTCACCAAACTCAATTGAAGCCTAAAATGATTCCATTGTATAATAAATAAAACAAACTACAATAAGCTGAAACAAAGATGAGTGTGTATATATATAACAAGGACATGTTCTTTTGCAGATATGAAGTTAATGGTCACAAGACTCACAACCATGCCGGACACTGAAGTCATCAGACAAGGAAAGGATGCAATCCAATTACTTAATGAAGCACGATCGACTCAACTATTACACTAAGTGTAGGAACAGTCAAAAGTCAGATTCTTAGAGAGAAACAGGGAGGGCCCCAAGATCTAAGAAAGTAGAGAAAAGTCAACGACAAAACTCAAGAAAGTAGAGATAGAAGAGAACCAGTGACAATGGCAGTGAGGCCAGTTCCATCAACTCCATGTGTGACTTCTTCTGCAGTGGAGCTAGACGAGAACCCAGATGCTCCTTTCGACCCCCAAAACCACATCTATGAGGGTAACGCAAAAACACTAACACGCTCTGACAGACTTATTTTGTTTACTAAAATATGTTTCGTATGTAATTTCAGTGAACAGATCTACATACGAACCCAATATCCGAGAAAGCTTACGTCAGATCTACGAACTAAGTCAAAAATTTCTATTTTAAGGACTTTAACAACGTAGCTGAACAGAGTAGCAAACGACTTTTGATTGAATGCACGAGATCCAACGAGTTTAGGAGTCACCCCCACATGAATCATATTAACATCGACTCAAATCTGAGATTCAAAATATTGAACTGCTGGGAAATGGGAGAGGCCGCGCGAACGCAGGCCTCCGCTGCCACAAATAATGACGCAGGCTCTCCCACTTGGGGAGACCTTAAGCTAAGCACCCTTCCGTTATGTGCAATGGAAGTCACTAGCTTAGGCCACTCTTCTTCTTGATCAAGTGTCGACCCCGTCCAGGTAAGTACCTCCCAATGGTCGACTATCTTCTTCTTTTATACTACGGCAAAGATGAGTGTCTCGTAGTTATGATTCCGATGTGGGAGCAAACGCTTATTGATCTCCTAGCCATGGTTTCGTAACTTATGAGCCTCAATTTAAGGCCTTCCTCACTAACTAATATCTGGCCCAAAGATAACGGATTTGACATTCTAAATTAATTTGTAGAACAAGTTTGCAATATTTGTACGATTAAATTACGTTCTCTTAAAGAGTATCATGTTGATTTCATTTTATGATTAGGTTTTGGAACAGAATCCAATCTATCCCAAAACTAACTATGTTGAGCAATAATCTTGGCTCTCAAAATTATTTTCTTGATAAAAAACTTTTTTTGTTGACCTAGGATACCGGGAGGACCATGATCCAACCGCCTAACCACGAGCACTAGTCAGATCGGTTGCTCGCAAGAAGAGTTAGATATCTTGTTGTCTGGCCACATACTACGGTAATCTGAAGGTAACAAATTCAAATCCGCGATCCTTAGGATCATTGTGGGACGCATGTATCACCCGACCATTAACATGTGGTTTTGATAGAATATTTGAATGGACATGTGCCTCGACCACCTAATTTTTCTTCAGGGTCAGATCAAATCCAAACCCATTAGCTGAGAGGTTGCAGCCGCGTCTGTCTACAGGAGATTGCATGCATCTAGGCTGTTATTGTTGCACAACAAGTGAGACATCTTTAGACACCAAGAAGTGTCTCATCTGCACCCCCTAAACCTTAGGCAAGAGTTCTCTTCATACTAACTGATTGTTTTAGCAAAGAACTGATTGATGAAAATGCTCTAATATTTTTTTTTTTAAATGGAGAACTCAGCCATTCTTCAGGAGAATGTCAACCCCTAAATTAATTGGTCTCCACACATTTCCAAATCAATATTGACTTACATTTCGTCTAATGACCAATCTAAATTTACTGGTTTCTTTATATTACCTATAATTTTTGAAAAAAATCTGTTTTGATAATGAATTTGGGAACGGTTGTAGCAAAAAAAAAAAATAATAATAATGAATTTGGGAACATCTACGTTATGAAATTTATTGTCTAAATACAACAGTTAATCTTCTAAATACTTGAGTGACAATAATTTATCTGTAAATATAAATTAACTAGTACTCAGATTTCTTCTCAATCATAAATGTATACTTTTATTAATTTCTAAATATTTGTTTTTTGATGATTATTTTTTCTGATATGATGTTAAGTTCTTTGAACTGATATAAATTTTATTCAACGAGATATGATTTGATTTATTTCTTTATATTATTGCATAATTTATAATTACTCTTCTTCTTTTTTTTGGGCAAACATACTTGATTAAGAAATTTGAGTCCAAGGAGTTCAATACTCATCCACATACCGGAGAGTTAAAAACAGAGAGTAGAGCTGACTTAGCAAGTGAATCAGTCAAAGTGTTTCCCAAACGAGGGAGAAAATGAAAGAAGATAGAGCTAAAAGAGTTTGATAGAGAATGAATATCAAAGAGAATTCCTTGAATCCAGACACGATTTTTCTTGGTGATCAGAAGAGTGATAGGACTTTTAGAGTCAGAGAAAACTCTAAGGGAGTCAATACCACGAGAGATTGCAGATTGCAATGCCGCCTTTAACGCCAAGGCCTCTGCTACAAGGGCTGAGGGGACAGACTGGCGGTGAGAAGAGAAATTTCCTACTGGAGCAGCAGTGTTATCACAGAAATGCCATCCCATACGACATCCTCCTGTCTTTGAGTCCCAGGCCGCATCTGAGTAAAGACTCCATGTGGTGGTACCTGAAATAGAAGAGGGTAGATGCAATAACAAATTAGACTGCTGTAGAGAAGGTTCCACACACTGGCATTTTGCAATTTTCTTATCATTCTTGAGCTCCCTTCCAAGCTCTTGAATCTTGTAGAATTTTCAAAACTGATTATTCAACAGAGAAGTCTTTATTTTCAAACAGTAATTTGTTCTTATTTGTCCATAAGATCCAAAGGGCCCATGGAAATATGGGAACGTCGCCTAAACCCGTAGGAGGCAGGTTGATGATTTTGCTGCAGCTGTCAAGGAGAGTCGAGACAGAATTTGGGATTTGAGCTAGTTATAATTTACAATTACTCATTATCATCCATTCTCTTACATCCTTCAGTAAATTTTCTGCAATATTTATTTTCAAAGGTAAATCCGAAATATTACCCTAATTCACGTTGACCAAAATATATATTCAATTATATTATAAGATAATCAATTCTTATTTAAATAGTGGAAAACATTAATTGGTAGATCTAAATCAATTATATTAATCTTTTATAGGATAACATAAAAACTCTATATAAAAGCACATAACGTAAACGAAATGAACAATCCCAAATTTGAAATTCTTGGCACTAAGACAAATTGATTGGACGATTAAAGAGTGTGATTGTTTTCTAAATGCATTTTGTAAAGAAATGAATCAAATAATCAAATATCGTATGAAACTGAAGTTCATATGGAGAAAAAATGATGAAGTCGCATTCACGTTACGAGAGTTAGTCCTCGTTGACAATGATGCTAGTGATTACTGATTGCCAAATCGGCTTGCATATTATTCCATAAGCTAAACCCCAAAAGACCAAGACAACTAGTCTCAAGTCTTCCAAAGAAAGTTAAAAATAGTCGATTTTTATTAAAGTGCATCGACATTCAAGTGCAAATACAACCGTTCACACATTATCTTCTTTTCTTTTTTTCATTCACACATTATTAAAAAAAGACAAATATGGCAAAAAAGAGCTATGAGACAGTCCTCTGTTTCTTCTTGTTTTTCTTCATCATAAGCTTTAGTACCATTTCTGTTTCTGCACAAGTTTGTGAAAACACTACTGGAATATTCATACCCAACAGTCCTTATGACAACAACCGTCGTCTCATCCTCTCCACACTCGCTTCTAACGTTACGGCTCACGACGGCTACTTCAACAGTTCGATCGGGCTTGGTCCAGACCGAGTCTACGCCATGGGGATGTGCGCTCCAGGCGCTGAACCTATTGTTTGCTCTCAGTGTATTGAGACCGCTTCTGATGGCTTACTACAGCACTGTCTAAACGAGGTAGACGCTTTCTCATGGTCAGGTGACAAAACCCTTTGCCTAGTTCGCTACACTAACCGCTCCTTCTCTGGATTACTCGTCATGAAGCCACTTGGAGCGATCTCAAGTACTGCATACACCAATCTGAATCAGACGTACTTTGATAGCGTATGGACAAAGTTAATGTTTGGTATGATCGCTAACATCTCATCTTCCTCATCAGCGGGCACGTCTAAGTTCTATGCAGATGAAGACGATGCGGTTACATTACCGGATTTTAGGAACATATCTGCGTTGATGCAATGCACACCAGACGTTTCTTCTAAAGATTGTGACGTTTGCTTAAGAAGAAACGTTATTGACTATCAGACGTGTTGCCGTAGGAAGCAAGGTGGAGTTATATCTCGACCAAGTTGTTTTTTCCGGTGGGAGTTGTATCCATTCTCTGGTGCTTCAGATCTTATTTCCTTACAGCCTTCAACGCCGCCCTCTCTTACACCATCTCCTGTTTCCAGAGAACCGTCTCTCGATGTTTCCAAGAAAGGCAAGTTTCTTTTTTATTTTTAAATAATTCAACTTGACCCTAAAGTCACCCTTTGATGTTAGAGGGTTCCAAGAAAGGCAGGTTTCTTTTTTGTTTGGAATAAAGCAACTTTTTTTATTTTTGTGTAGTTATGTTGTTGGTGAATTGTACTTTGTGCAGATACAAGAATCTCCGGAGGAGTTATTGCAGCAATTGTCGTTTCTGTTCTTGTTGCCACAATATTGATTACTCTAGGCGTTGTTATTTTCAAGAAGAGAAAGCAAAAGCAATATATTGAACTTCCAAGTGAGTTTTTATTTTTTAAACACTTGATTTTGTATTCTTGGAACATTTTAACAAACTTTATTTCTGTCTTAAATGAAGCCGAATCGATCCAGTTTGATTTAAGCACAATTGAAGCTGCTACAAACAACTTTTCTGAGCGTAACAAGCTTGGCGAAGGAGGATTTGGTGAGGTTTACAAGGTATATACACGTATAGACGATCTTTGTCCACGTAGCTTACTTCTTTTGTGGGGACGAGGTGAAGTGATAAATGCTTAATTTGTAATTTTTTTTTCAAAGGGTATGCTCATGGATGGTACTGAAGTTGCCGTGAAGAGATTGTCTAAAACATCAGGACAAGGTGAAGTAGAGTTCAAGAACGAGGTGATTGTTGTTGCAAAACTTCAGCACAGAAATCTTGTTAGACTTCTTGGGTTTTCATTACAAGGAGAAGAGAAGTTACTGGTCTATGAGTTTGTTCCTAACAAAAGCCTCAACTATTTTCTCTTCGGTCTGTTTTTTTATTAACTCACTTTCATTGTTGTTTCTCTTCCTTGAACCTAGCTAATTTTTATTATGTATAAGTATGCAGACTCTAAGAAGAGAACTCAGTTGGACTGGACAGTTCGATGCAACATCATTGGGGGAATTACTCGAGGGATTCTATATCTTCATCAAGATTCACGGCTCAAGATCATACATCGTGACCTCAAAGCGAGTAATATTCTGTTAGATGCTGATATGAATCCCAAAATCGCTGATTTTGGAATGGCAAGGATATTTGGAATCAACCAAACTGTAGCCAATACATCAAAAGTGGTCGGAACCTTGTGAGTATATACTTTCTTGAACCTAATCATAAAGTTCAATTAATAAACCCTTTTGTTTCTTATTAACTTGTATATTTTTGTAGTGGTTATATGCCACCTGAGTATGTGGCAAATGGGCAGTTCTCGACTAAATCAGATGTCTATAGCTTTGGAGTATTGATTCTTGAGATCATTAGTGGCAAAAAGAATAGCAGCTTCTACCAGACGGAGGGTCTAGTTAACAACTTAGTCACTTATGTTAGCAATTATGAACTAATAAGTCCCAAATTTTGTTTAATTCTTTTAAATTGATCATAGTTATAACTAACTATATTACAATAATTTGTACAGGTCTGGAGACTTTGGGAGAATAAATCATTGCATGAACTCGTAGATCCTGGCATCAGAGAAGATTGTAAAAGCGATGAAGTCATTAGATATATTCATATTGGGCTGCTATGTGTTCAAGGAAATCCTGCAGATCGTCCAACAATGTCTACCATTCACCAAATGCTTACAACCAGCTCAATTGCATTGCCTGTCCCTCTGCCACCTGGATTCTTTTGCAGTAACGAATCAAGATTGTCTCCACTAGCCCAGGGATTGGAGCCGGGTCAGTTCAACAGCAAGTCTTTTACTTGTTCTGTAGATGAAGCTACAATCACCGATGTTATTCCTCGTTGAATACTCAGCAGCATTGTTATGTTTTGTTTACGTTTGTTTCCACAAACGCATGTGACGTTTTCATATAGGTTGTTACTCAATAACAAATATAATTTCATCTAGAACGAAAATCAAACTCACAAACTCGATGACACACTTGCATAAGTAGGTCAAGGAATATAATTTTATTTTGTAATATGACTTTTCTATATTGGTTTTAGTTATTTAACAATGTTTGATTTCTTCAGTAAATCCTAACGAAGTTCATAATGTATCCCAAGAATATATAAAGTTAATAATGGTCACATCGATCTGCAACATGAAGAGATATCTGGTAAAGTAACATCATGACTCCAACATTGATCACAAGTGTTAGTCCAGAACTCTAATGATAAATTTGAACTCGAGGGTCCAAGTCTACCACAAAAATTCAAATTTGTCAGTTTCTTATTAATGTGCATTTCCATTCAAGTAGAAAACTCAAACTTGTGAGTTGTAACCATATGAACCACATAAACACGCACGCAAACATTGACTGAATCAACTAAAAGAAGCAACAAAAAAAAAAAAAGTCTAAGACGAGTTAGATACTATTTATTGGTAGATCATGACTGTTGCGAAAAGCTGTCCATGTGAATAAGATAAACCCATTTTTCGTAGATAGATCCGCGTGTTGCGGAAAAACTAGCGTCATAGAGTCACTGATTGAATTAAATCACTGATTATAACAAAACGGAAAACACCCTCTAACATCAAGGGTGACTTTAGGGTCAAGTCTCCCACTGAAATTCAAACTAGTGTTATTAGCTAACATGCAAAGTCATTCACGCATACAATTCAGACTTCAATTTATAATATCAACACATTTGAAGACACATGATCTGCATAATCTAAAGATAATAAAAAAATGGCAAAGAAGAGCAGTGTATCAATCCTATGCTTCTTAATCATAATCTTTAGTCCTATGTCTGTTTCTGCACAAACATGTAATGAAACTGCTGGAAACTTCAAACTGGATAGCCCATATGACACTAACCGCCGTCTCATCAACTCTACTCTGGCTTCTAACGTTACGGATCACAACGGCTACTTCTACGGTTGGATGGGTCTAGACCCTGACATAGTCTACGCCGTGGGGATGTGCTCTCCAGGTGCTGGACCAGAAGCTTGCTCCCAGTGTATCCAGGACACCTCAGATATTTTACTAAAGTCCTGTCCCAACCAGACAGACTCTTTCACATGGTTAGGTGAAGAGTTTCTTTGCCTTGTTCACTACTCTCGCAAACCCTTCTCCGGGGCCCTCGTCTTGGAGCCGTCTAAAGTCCTTTACAATTCCGAGGACATAAAAAAAGAAAACCTGAAGGAATTCGATAGTGTGTGGGATAGGCTAATGTCTCGTACGATGACAGAAGCGTCTACTTCTTCTTCTTTATCATTGTCTAGTAGTAAATACTATGCAAATGATATAGCTCCGGTGCCGGATTACCGGAATATATCGGTGTTGATGCAGTGCACTCCAGATGTTTCTTCAGAGGATTGTAAACTTTGCCTAGAGAAAAGCGTTGATTACTATAAGACATTGCACCATGGGAAGACAGGCGGTATTGTGTTGCGGCCAAGTTGCTTTTTACGGTGGGCATTGTATACATTTACTGGTGTTTTTGATCATATTAGAATGCCACCCCCGTCATTGCCACCACCGCCGCCTTCAAAGACACCATTTGTAGTCACCAACATGCCTCAGAGAGGCAAGTCCTTTTGGTAACATTTTCAGAGAAATTCTTGATTTTTTTTTTTTTTAGTGTTTTATGTAGTTATGTTTTTTTTTTTGTGAATTGGTGGCTTTATGCAGATACAAGTTTATCGGGAGGAATTATCAGTGCGATAGTCATTGTTATTTTCTTTTTCATAATATTGCTAGCTATAGTTGTTGCTATTTTCAAGAAAAACAGAAAGCAAGAAATTCAACTTCCAAGTGAGTTTGTTTGTTTGTTTGTAAATCCTTAACTGATATTTTAACCTTAAGAAGCTTTTTTTCTGACGAGCTTAATGTTGGTCTTAAAAAGCGGAATCTGTTCAATTTGATTTAAAGACAATAGAAGCTGCGACCAGCAACTTCTCTGCTAGTAACAAGCTTGGTCAAGGTGGATTTGGTGAGGTTTATAAGGTATTTATACGCTGTTTGCGCACCTCTATTTCTTCTTTCGTGGAGAAACAATGAAATGATGATGCCTTATTTGCGATTATTTACAAGGGTATGCTCATGAATGGAACTGAAGTTGCGATAAAGAGACTGTCTAAAACATCAAGACAAGGTGAAGTAGAGTTCAAGAATGAGGTAGTTGTTGTTGCAAAGCTTCAGCATAGAAATCTTGTTAGACTTCTCGGGTTTTCTCTACAAGGAGAAGAGAAGTTACTCGTCTATGAGTTTGTTCCTAACAAAAGTCTTGATTATTTCCTGTTTGGTCAGTTATTCTTTACTTAAAATTATACTCTTGTATATTTTTTTCCTCTTCTTGTACATTGATAATTGTGATTATGCATGAATATCTAGACTCTAAGAAGAGAATTCAGTTGGACTGGACTATGCGACACAACATCATTGGTGGGATTACTCGAGGAATTTTATATCTTCATCAAGATTCACGGCTCAAAATTATACACCGTGACCTCAAAGCGAGTAATATTCTCTTAGATGCGGATATGAACCCAAAAATTGCTGATTTTGGAATGGCAAGGATCTTTGGTATGGACCAAACTGTAGCCAACACATCAAGGGTGGTTGGAACCTTGTGAGTATATTTTTCTTGTAGCAGATGAAGTTCAATAAAAAAAAAAACCCTATTGCTGACAGTTGACCTGTATTTTTGCAGTGGTTACATGCCACCGGAATATGTGACACATGGTCAGTTCTCGACAAAATCAGATGTCTATAGCTTTGGAGTATTGATTCTTGAGATCATTAGTGGAAAAAAGAATAGCAGCTTCTACCATATGGATGGTTTTGTTAACAACTTGGTCACATATGTGAGCTATAAACTTATTACCCCCAAACTTTGTTTGATTCTATTAAGTGTGATGATTGTTCTGAATACATATTAACAAAATTCTATAGGTATGGAGACTTTGGGAGAACAAATTATTGCATGAGCTCATTGATCCCGTTATCAGAGAAGAGAGAAAAAGAGATGAAGTCATTAGACACATTCATATTGGGCTGTTATGTGTTCAAGAAAATTCTGCAGAACGTCCAACAATGTTCAGGATTCACCAAATGCTCACAACCAGCTCAATTACTCTGAATGTTCCTCTACCACCTGGATTCCTGTTTAGGAATGGACCAGGATCAAGCCCATTAGCCCATAGGTTGGAACCGGGTGAACCTACCAGCATGTCTTTTCCTTGTTCTTTAGATGAAGCAACAATCACCGATGTTAGTCCTCGTTAAAAGTCCAACATGTTCTGTTTGGTTGAGGTTGTTTGCACAAATGATTGTCAGTTGTATACTTGTATTATATCCATATATATATGAAAAAAAATTAAGCGTCACTACCAGTTTGAAGTACTCAATAGAGAACCCTCTCTGGAAATTCGCATATAGGGAACAAAAATGAAATGCCTGCAGATTTGTGGTCAGGTTGGTTTGAGAATGTGCTAAAACACTCTCATGGGGCTCGAGTCTAGACTAAACCACATCTACGTGGGAAGCTACGTTTGGGCTTCGGCCAATGAATTTTAATTGATAGTCTAATAATAGGTAATATGTTTATTTTATATATTAATCAGAAAGCATTCCAAACTCGGATTAAATAAATGCATTCCTGTTGGAGCTAACTGGATCATCATATAAAAATATGAAAATTTCCCTTGTTGAAAACAAGTAGCTCCGGCTATGGGGAAAATTATGTCAAATTAGAACTGATCGTTGACACAGTTTTTTAATGCGTTCAAAAAGATATCCTCTCAGATCGTCCAATCATTTTCACAATCTTTTATTTGGTCACTAATGTTCAACTGTTCATTTGTTACTTGTCTGGTAAGTTAGTAAACGGTGGTGTCTTATTCATACAAAGTCTCCGCGCCTAGCAGAATGGTCTCCAACCTTTTTATATATATAGTATTCAAGTTCAGTCTGCTTTTCTTACTAGAAAATAGTTAGAATACAGTAGACGTCAAAGAAGAAGGCTGATATTTTAACTGTCTCATTTTCTCATTTCTCATTTCTCATTCACATTATCATTTATATAATTAAAATAGTTGATCAACTGTTTTCTTTTGAATAACCAGTAAAAGTTGATGTTACTCTTGGAGTTGACCTTGACTTAGCAAGAAGTTGTATTATTTTAGAGACAAAAGCATAGACTTAGGCTAGCTGATTTGACTTTAATCATTGTTACTCATGAATCCAAACGAACAAGAAGAAGTTGGATAATGCCTGCTTATACCTCATTAAACTCTCTCTTCCTGCTCACCATCTTCATTACAAGCTTGAGAGCTTCTGCACAATTACAAGACCCTACTTATGTCGGCCAAGAATGTACTAACAGGATATCAAGAAACACAACTTACTTCTCCAATCTCCAAACCCTTTTAGCCTCTCTTTCTTCCAACACTGCTTTCTTCTCCATGGGATCTCATAGCCTCACAAAGGGTCAAAACGCTGACATGGTGTTTGGACATTATCTTTGCAAAGGCGATCTCTCGCCTGAAGCTTGCCGTGATTGCGTTGTATTTGCTGCCAAAGATGCTCTGACTCGATGTCCAGGAGATAAAGAGTTATTGATTCAGTATGATGAGTGCATGCTTGGATACGCTGACAGGAACATATTTATTGATGCTGTAACCACAACTAAAATAATCACTTGGAACACTCAAAAAATTAGCTCGGAGTCGGACTTATCCGACCGGTTCAACGATGCCGTGGTTGCTCTGATTAACAAGTCTGCAATGGAAGCAGCTACTAGCACAACGAAGAAGTTCGCCGTTAACAAGTCAAACTTCACTTCGTCCCGGACCATTTACGCGTCGGTTCAGTGCAATCCTGACCTGTCAAGTGAAGATTGTTTAATCTGTCTGCAACGATCCATCAAGAAGTTTTATTTCAACAGTGTTGGAGGAAGAGTTCTTGTCCCGAGTTGTAACTCACGGTACGAGCTTTACCCTTTCTACAATGAAACCTTAGTGACAAGTCTCTCTCCGCCGGTAAATAGTCCTCCATTGGTCTCAGTTCCTCCATTGCCACCTGGTACAAAAGCTCTCGGTATCTTTTGTTTATTTTGGGTTAAGACATTCATGATTTGGGAAACTATGTGTCATGTCTGATGTAATACTTTGGCAGTTGAAGGAAGAAACTGGACGGTGATAATCATAGCAATATGTGTGCCGGTCTTTGTTATCTTTCTTGTGGCTGTTCTAAGCTACCGTTTAACAAAGAGAGTGAAGAAGACTTATGATGATGCAGCTGCAGATGATGGTAAGGATTCTAATACATTTTGTGTGTGCAGCTTAAAGTTTTATAGAGCTGAATCCTTACAACTTTTTGTTTCTTGCAGGAGGAGATGACATTACAACGGCAGGCTCACTGCAGTATGATTTTAAGGTCATTGAAGCTGCGACAGATAAGTTTTCGATAAGTAACAAGCTCGGTCAAGGTGGATTCGGAAAAGTCTACAAGGTATTACCACCAGTTCATTGAGGTTATTGATTTATTAGATGTATAAGAGATCCAAATAATGTTTAGTTTCTTGTAAAAAAAAAAACTAATAATGTTTACTATCATTTTAGGGGACACTTCCTAATGGGCTACAAGTTGCCGTGAAGCGACTTTCAAAAACATCAGGACAAGGCGAGAAAGAGATCAAGAATGAGGTTGTTCTTGTGGCAAAGCTTCAGCACAGAAACCTAGTCAAGCTTCTTGGATTTTGTTTGGAGCGAGAAGAGAAGATACTTGTCTATGAGTTTGTGTCAAACAAAAGTCTTGATTACTTTCTGTTTGGTAAGTTAAACCAATTCTTAGCAAAAAAAAAATATTTCATTTTTTGAACCAATGTTTAACATGCTAACTATGTATATGAATAGACTCTAGTAAGCAGAGCCAGCTGGATTGGACTACACGGTACAAGATCATAGGAGGAGTAGCTAGAGGGATTCTATATCTTCATCAAGATTCAAGACTAACAATCATACATCGTGACCTCAAAGCGGGTAACATCCTCTTGGACGCTGATATGAACCCGAAAGTTGCAGATTTTGGAATGGCAAGAATTTTTGAAATGGACCAAACCGAAGCCAGTACTAGAAGAGTTGTTGGAACCTAGTAATTTTTGCTCTTTCTATCTATTGACTGCATAGAAATTCATCATCATTCTATTAAATCAAATTTTGGTGTACCATTTCAGTGGATACATGTCTCCTGAGTATGCGATGTACGGCCAATTTTCAATGAAATCAGATGTATATAGCTTTGGAGTCTTAGTTCTTGAGATTATAAGCGGAAGGAAGAACAGCAGCCTCTATCAGATGGATGGTAGTGTTTGCAACTTGGTTACATATGTAAGTCTAGATAGTTAAATTATGTTTAACATTACCAAAGATTTAAAGTCTTACAATGTTTGATAGACTTGGAGGCTCTGGAGCAAGGGGTCTCCATTGGAGCTCGTGGATGTGTCTTTTGGAGATAACAATCAAAGAAACGAAATAAGTAGATGCACCCATATCGCTTTATTATGTGTCCAAGAAGATACTGGAGATCGTCCAACAATGTCAGGGATAGTCCAAATGCTTACTACTAGCTCTATCTCCCTAGCAGTGCCTAAACCACCTGGACTTTTCTTTAAGAGTAATCAGGAACAAGCAGGTCCATCAATGGATAAGTCTGTTCTCTGTTCAATTGATGATGCACCGATTACTTCTGTAGCTCCTCGTTAAAGACAAGCTCGTTTCATAAACAAAAACAATGTAAATTATGGCGGACTGTAGGTGAAGGTTTTTTTTTTTTTTTGACTGTAGGTGAAGGTTACCTTCTTTGATGTCACTTTATGATTATAAGCCATGAACCTTGATGAGGATAATATAAATTCTCGAGTAATCAATCCACTAATCCCTCCAATGATATTGTCTACTTCACCTGGTCCCTCGTTTTGAATGGTCTGAATATAAATGTATAGATAATTTTTACAACCGGTCAGGTCACATCAATATCTGTTGCGTTGACTCGTGTGAAGACTTTTCTTAAGTCAACCATAAATCGCTGCAATTATTTTGAACGAATAAAAAATGATTCCATGAGGAAAAAATGAAAAAGAAAAAAGCAACTTGTGGTTTCTTTTTACTTCATCAACTCTATTGAAGCCTAAAAGGATTCGATTGTTCTTGATTCAAATATATGGTTTTTTCCCTGGTAGTTTATCATATAGTAAATTATAAATATAAGATTTGACAAACACATGTTGTTTTGCAGATTTCAAGTTATCTTCCCCTTTCAGGCAAATGGTCCCAACCGTGTTGTGCACCGAAGTCAGCATATTTAGAAAAAATCCCAAGTCGATATTCCGACATGTAATAGTGCTAATTTTATCTGCGAATCCGACTCTTTGGTACGGATCAAGCAACCTTATCTTAGCAATATGAATCTCAACTGAATCAAAGACTCATAACCAAATATTGAACTAGAGAACTGAAAGAGGCCGCGCGAACGCAGGCCTGCACTGCCACAAATAATGACGCAGGCTCTTCCACTTGGGGAGACCTTAAACTAAGCACCCTTCCTTAGTGTGCAATGGAAGTCACTAGCTTAGGCTACCTTTCTTCTTGATCAAGAGTTGACCCCGTCCAGGTAAGTACCTTCAAATGTTCAATTATCTGCTTGTTTTATACTACGCCAGAGGCAAGTGTCTCATCGTTTGTTTCCGATGTGGGAGGTATGCTTAAAGTTATTTTCTATGTTCAAGTTAGGGGTACGTTGTTCTTATGGGCCTCAACTGAATGCTTTCCTGAGAGACTAATATTTGACTCAAATATCATTTTTTTAAACCCAAATATTTTCACTAATAACTTAACAAATATTTTGTTAATTTGTAAGTATACAGTGAATGTCTGGGTTCAACACCACCTGTGTTCTTTGCAATGATACTCAAGAATCATGCTCCCACTTCTTTTTTGGATGTTCGGTATTCAGAACAGATTCGGAAGAAGCTTGGGGGGGGGCATTATGCAGGACATATACACTGCAGACTGGAATGATCTTAGATGGAATTACAGTACCTGGCCTACTCCAACAATGACATTTCTCATCCGCTACACCCTCCAAGCAACTTTGCACGCGATATGGAGGGAGAGAAATGTTGGATATTCATACCGGTTTATAACGATTTATAAATCAATCTATGAATTCAATTTGCCTAGATCTCATGCAAATACTGAAACAAATCTAGATCTTAGGGTTTTGCATATACATGGATGTTATTCGCAGCGGAAAGCTGAATGAAGCAAACCAAGGTTATTAGCACTCCAAACATCGTACCTCTACTTGTATTCACACACACACAAACTGGATCGAAACAGGATGCTATTTAGTCGGCTGTTTTTTCATATGATCATTAAATCACTTACGTGACCTTTATAATCATATAAGCTAAACATATTTAGGAAGTTAATGGGCTAAGCCCAAGTGATAATTATCACTTCTTAACTCAGGAAATTTCACCATCATGTGCATGTATATCTCACGTGTATATTATATATAATATAATATAAACACACATATATATAAAATCCCAAATATTTCTGATCCAATTTGCTTAGGTGTGTGATCCTATAGGATCATATAATATTAGTAATGAATTCTCAATTCATAGTTTATGAGCGGTTTCTAACAAAACATCATAACCACCTAATATTATACGATTGTCGAACCTCGACGTTACGACTTATACTAGAGTAAGCACAAATAATTTTAGGACATTCCCAACAAGAAACTCACGTAGACACGGAGAGGAGCCACATGATGAAGCTTGTTTGATCTATGAAAGACTGTCAGATTGAAGCCCCTTTCAGTTAAGAAAAAGGGCACAAACATCTTGATGAGGGTCTAATGGCTTGGTTTGGGACTCGATGAGATGAGACTGAGGAGATTTTTTCAATTCAAGTCTCAATGTTTTGATTCTTTGTAAAAAATAAAACAGTAGCATTCGATGTAATATAGTTTTGATTGAATAAAATTTTACATTCATTCAAAAAAAAAAAATCATGTGACACCCTGGAAAACATGCTATAGAGTCTCATATGTACATTTCTTGGAAAAACTAGAAGGATATTGTAAACAGAAATGTTCCAGAAAAAACAAAATCAGACGAAAGTAACTCAAAGAAAGTGAAAGCGAAATTGTGACGAATTGGAAAATTTGTCAATTGATTGCATAAAGCAGAAAACGCTATCGAAGACGACGACGCAAAGATAAATTACAATCACTCATTAGCTGCTTCACAATTATTATCTCTTTGATATTTTTTTTTCTGTAACCAAGGCTCTTTATTGTCACCAAATTCTAGATATGACAGTGACAAATACAAAAAAATGAAACATGATTGTAGGGGTAGTAATTTGTTTCTGTGAAACGATATTTTTGTTGCGGAGCAATCAACCCTAGTAACTCCACTACCACTATCCTCGTATAAGCGGTAAATGCATTTCTCAAAAGAAAAAAAAAAGAAAAGAAAGCGGTGAATACAGTAATCAATGAAACCTATATTAAAATCTAAATTTAGTGATTAAACTGATAATATTGACGAAAAACATTTTATGTATGCTAGATATTTGAACATCATGCTATTATTACAAAGCTTGAAAAAAAGGACAACAAGAACACATAACTTCAAATATGTCTTCTTACACCTGTTTCATATTCTTTTTCCTCTTTTCATTCCTTGCAAGCTCCACAGTATGCGCACAAAATCATACTTATATTTACCATATGTGTTACGAAAGAACAACGTATTCAAGAAACAGTACTTACTTCACCAATCTCAGAACCCTTTTGTCTTCTCTCTCTTCCTTCAACGCCTCCTACTCCACCGGATTCCAAAACTCCACGTCGGGACAAGCACCCAACAGAGTCACTGGCCTATTCCTTTGTCGTGGAGATCTCTCTCCTGAAGTTTGCCGTAGCTGCGTCGCCTTTTCTGTCAACGACATCCTCAACCGGTGTCCGAACGAGAGAGAGGTAGTGGTCTATTACGATGAGTGTATGCTCAGATACTCTGACGGGAATATTCTCTCGACCACCCTTTCAGGCGGCGGCGAAAGGACACTAAGGAACAACAAGAATGTTACGTCAAGTCAGTTTGAACGGTTCAACGATGTGGTCCTGTCCACCTTAAACCAAGCCGTGAACGATGCGTTGGCAAGTCCTAGAAAATTCGCTGTGAGAAAAGCTAGTGTTACGGCATCTCAGACTTTGTATGGACTGGTTCAGTGCACTCCTGATCTGACAAGAGGAGACTGTCTTACTTGTCTCCAAAAAGCTGTCAATGAATTACAAACTGACAGTCTTGGGGGAAGTCTTCTTATGCCGAGCTGTAATTCAAGATTTGAGATTTACCCATTCTACAACGAAACTACCGTCACAGCTCCTCCACGACCTGGTCGGTGCTCTCTTTACTTTCTCTGTGTTTTAAACCACTGATTTAAGCGAAGTAATGTCCTTTCCATTGAGTTTAGGACAAATTAGATTGCACGAATACAAAATAGCAGAAAAAGAAAAGCTTGAAAATAGTATTAATTATAAAAACAAAAACTGGGTTTATGTAACTAAATATAAGGCTATCTTTGTGTGAGAAATACCCTTCATAGAAGTAATAAAACGACTTTTATTCCAAAAAAAACTCCCCAAAACTTGTTTTAGTATTATTTAATATATTTTTTTTTCTTAATTTGTTATCTAATGATTTCTGGAAAGCAGGGAAAACTGGGAATTCAAAGGTGTTAGTAGTAGCCATTGTTGTGGCTATTATAGTGGCGCTTCTGCTTTTCATTGTTTGTTATTGTTTCCTTGCAAAGAGGGAAAAGAGGTCAAAGAAGGCTTATGCAGCAGCGACTACATTTGATGGTAAAGTTTAATTTAATGAACAATATTTTATTGGAACTAATTAATATGTTTGATGCTCAACATTTTCATTATGTAAAAGGAAAAGAAATAGCAAGTGTAGACTCGCTGCAACTAGATTACAGAATAGTTCAGGCTGCAACAAATAATTTTTCAGAGAGTAACAAGATTGGCCGAGGTGGATTTGGCGAGGTTTACAAGGTACTGTTTACTTCCTTAACTGCACGCAATGCTGTGTATTTTCCATGGATGACAATACATTTAGATAACGAGATATTTCTGATGAAAACGTTAGGGTATGTTTTCAAATGGGACTGAAGTTGCCGTGAAGAGACTGTCGAAAACATCAGGACAAGGTGATGCAGAGTTCAAGAATGAGGTATTAGTTGTTGCAAAGCTTAAGCACAAGAATCTGGTTAGGCTTCTCGGGTTTTGTCTAGAACGAGAAGAAAGGATACTTGTCTACGAGTTTTTGCCCAACAAAAGCCTTGATTGCTTCCTATTTGGTCAGTTGTACTAACTGATTCCTGTAGCCATATTTGTGAAACTTCGGGTTGCAAATATTTAGTGGTAATGGTAACATATGAACGTGCACAGATACTGCAAAGAAAGGTGAGCTGGACTGGACTCGACGTTATAAGATTATTGAAGGAACTGCAAGGGGGATTATGTATCTTCATCAAGATTCACAGCTCACAATTATACACCGTGACCTCAAAGCGAGTAACATTCTCCTGGATGAAGATATAAATCCAAAAATAGCGGATTTTGGAATGGCACGGATCTTTGGACTCGACCAGACTGCAGAGAGCACAAGTAGGATAGTTGGAACCTAGTAAGTCTGCCCCCTCAGTCCTCATATTTTGAAGTTTTTATTCACATTTTTGCGAAATACCAAAGTTTTGTTGTGGGTTTTAGTGGGTATATGGCTCCCGAGTATGCAATGCAAGGTCAATACTCAGTAAAATCTGATGTGTATAGCTTCGGAGTGTCGGTACTTGAGATAATAAGCGGCAAGAAGAATAGTAGCTTTTACCAGGAAGACGGTGCACATGACTTGCTTTCATATGTAAGTGTATCGGCAATCAAGTTTCCTATATACCTCTCTTACAATCTGATGTGTATAGCTTTGGAAATCAAGTATTGAATGATTGATAACTGTTGAAGGCTTGGAGGCTTTGGAGGAATGGGACACCATTAGAGCTCATGGATCCAGTACTTGTAAATAATTTCCAGATGACTGAAGTGGTTCGATGCATCCACATTGGTCTTTTATGTGTTCAAGAAGATCCTGTCGACCGTCCGACCATATCGACCATTATTCTGATGCTTACTAGTAACACTGTTACTTTGCCGGTTCCTGGTGAACCAGGGCTTTTCTTTCAGAGTAGATCCACACAAGACCCGCTTGATTCAAATCAATTTATGAAAAGCAAGTCTATTGCTTGGTCTGTTGCCGAAGTCTCGTTCACCGATTTATATCCTCGTTGAAGTGAAATATATACCTTTAAGCTTGATTCCTGATAAACTGTGGTAATGAGGTTAGTGTAAAACTTGTATGTAACTGTAACGAGAAGTATTTATAGCTGTGTAACCGGGCTTCGTAGCCTGGTGGTAAAGGAACCTCGGCTGAGGTGCCCGCCACCCGACTTCGAACCCCGGCCACCACATAATTTACATGCGGAGTTGGTGTGGCGCTCCAGACCACTTAGCGTAACCAGGGGCCCTTAAGTGGACGCTTAAAAATCCTGTCATGGCATGGGCTTAGGCCCGGTGGGCTAGTCGATCAC